TGTGTGTGTGTCTGGCTGTCAGTGTGTGTGTGTATCTGGCTATCAGTGAGTCTGTGTGTGTATATCTCTCAGTGTGTGTCTGTCAGTGAATGTGTGAGTGAATGAGTGTGTGTCTGTCAGTGAGCTCCCCTACCCACTCTCACCTATCCAGCATACAGCTTTTTTTCTCAGGACTTGACCCCTTAACCCCTGTACATGCATCTCCGTGTCTGCATACACCAGTGCCGTGTAGGAGTATTTTCACACATTGCACTGCACAATTCATTGCCAGTGCACAATTCATTGCCAATGCACAATTCATTGCCAGTGCACAATTCATTGTATAAGTATTGATTTGTGAATCAATCAGTATGTACAACCAAGCTTGGGAAGGCTAAATAATTATGTAGTAAAAAAAACAAACTATTAAAACTATGTTTAAAATCAAAGAAAATGTAAATAATAAATATTTTGGAAATTAAAAAAAATACAGTGAGTATTCACCCCCCTGCCACCTCATACGGTTGAAATCTTAAACTTTTGCCCCCGTTCCTTTTCCTATGGACCGGTAGGTGTTATCGCTGTCCCAGGGAAGCCCCTCCGTGCTATGTGGCAGTACTACCAAGTGAGGCTTACTAACCCTACAATGGCGGCGAATGCCACTGGGCCTTCTGACGCAGCAAAGACACCTGACATTCTGGCAAAGATGGATAACATATTCACTACCTTCTGGTGGAAACTGGCTCTTAGAAAGAGGCAGGAGAACGCACACAATCTAGATGAGTACTCACCCAGGGTGTAAACGCTCCCATCACGGACAAAAAGCTTCCCAAACGAAGTGAGCACGAAAATGGCACAACAAATGGCTACTTTTCCCGCCAGCTTGCCAATCCACACATCTGCATCTGGACGCAGCTATGCCTCAATGCAAGAAACTGACATCTACATCCATTTCCAGCTGCCAGCCGTGACAAGAGGTCCCTAACAGGCCTACATTCCTCCCCAATCTGGATCCTAATGCCATCGATGAAAATCCAGAGGTCCTCACTTGGCACCGAATATGCCACTGCATGTCACCGTTCACATGGGCTGCAGGCCTTGCTTTTCTTGTCTTACTTTGACAATGTGGGACTCATACATAGATACCTGGGGGGCCTCCTAAGGGGTCGTTCATTGTCACCTAGTCTCTGCTCTAGCCTGAAGAGCAATTTGTTAAATTTGCCAAGTTTAATCTGTCTAGATAGAGTATAATTTTCATAGCTGCCTACTTACCTCGAATGCCTTTGACTTATCTACTCCTTCGTGGTGGGGCTGACCCGCTTCCATTAGCCTTGCTTTATGATATTTGCCGAGCCCGTTCAAGTTTTCATTGTTTACTCACCTACCTGATTACTATTTACCAAATATGTGCATGATTTAACTATATGTTTTCCAACTCAAAAGCTTTGTAATTTGTATTTTGATTTGTTTGACAACTGCTGTTGGGGCATGTTAAGCATGGATGTATCACTGCAAAAATAAAGAATTTTAAAAAAAACTTTAAAAAAATACAGTTGGTATTAAAACATTACTCCAACTATTGTCAACTCATTAGGACAGGGGTCTCTGTGTGTCATTTGTGTTTTGCAAGAATTCATTGTTTGCCTATGGTACAGCGCTGCAGAATATGTTGGCGCTATATAGATAATTGTAATTTTTGACAAAACAGAGAAAATCTGCTGTGAAATGCATAGAAAAAAAAAACTCACGCCACCCCACTGCAGGAGAAACATAGCAAAGACTAAACTAATCTTCAGGAAGAAAACTAATCACAGACTCAAAGTGGTTTCTTATAATAAATCAGCTGTCTTTTAATAAAATAAAAGCAATGAAAATAAGTCATCTCAAATGGTCATGTCTGACACGTTTTGTCCACAGTGGCCTTTCCCAGAAACAGCGCTTGACAGGGTGTACCTACAATGAACTACAGATATACACACTACGTCATGCACTTCCTGATTGACTTAAAGGGCTAGAGGTTACAAGAGGGAACAATATATATAAGAAAAATGTTGAGTGAGGTTTTAAGGAACATAGTACGTTTTGTAAAGAAAATGTAACTTAATAAATTTATATAAGTAATATATATTAAAACCAAATGAAGCATCATATGATAATTGTAGCTATTATAGCTATTTTTCAATGTTCTATTCATTGGTGAGATTTCCAGAAAAGTGACATTTCCCTTTAATGCCCTTTAAATTGTTTCCCACCTTATATCTACGTGAACATGTATTGGACCTTAGAAAACCTGGATATTTAGATTGTTAGCTTCTGTTAACACAGAACATGCAGTAATCTGAAATGAATTGATGTAAATCGAATTATCTATAAACATTAATTCTCACCTCTCAGCATTTCAAATAGACAAAGAGAGACACTTTAATTTCAAAAGTGTGAGTGAGGGTGTGACCAGGGGCAGGGCTGTTCTGAGACATGTTATGTTACTTAATGATCACAATGTATACAGCTAAAATGTAATTTAAAACAAGAAAAATGTATCTTATTTCCACAGACTGATTTCTAAACACATTTATTGTAGTTAAAGACACATTACTGGGAGTATTATTGCTGTGGAACTCTGTTATACACTCAGACACATTACTGGGAGTATTATTGCTGTGGAACTCTGTTATACGCTCAGACACATTACTGGGAGTATTATTGCTGTGGAGCTCTGTTATACGCTCAGACACATTACTGGGAGTATTATTGCTGTGGAACTCTGTTATACACTCAGACACATTACTGGGAGTATTATTACTGTGGGGCTCTGTTATACACTCAGACACGTTGCTGGGAGTATTATTACTGTGGAGCTCTGTTATACACTCAGGCACATTACTGGGAGTATTATTGCTGTGGAGCTCTGTTATACACTCAGACACATTACTGGGAGTATTATTACTGTGGGGCTCTGTTATACACTCAGACACATTACTGGGAGTATTATTGCTGTGGGGCTCTGTTATACACTCAGACACATTACTGGGAGTATTATTGCTGTGGAGCTCTGTTATACACTCAGACACATTACTGGGAGTATTATTGCTGTGGAGCTCTGTTATACACTCAGACACATTACTGGGAGTATTATTACTGTGGAGCTCTGTTATACGCTCAGACACATTACTGGGAGTATTATTGCTGTGGGGCTCTGCTATACACTCAGACACATTACTGGGAGTATTATTACTGTGGAGCTCTGTTATACACTCAGACACATTACTGGGAGTATTATTGCTGTGGAGCTCTGTTATACACTCAGACACATTACTGGGAGTATTATTGCTGGGAGCTTTGTTATACACTCAGACACATTACTGGAGTATTATTGCTGTGGAGCTCTGTTATACACTCGGACACATTACTGGGAGTATTATTGCTGTGGAGCTCTGTTATACACTCAGACACATTATTGGGAGTATTATTACTGTGGAGCTCTGTTATGCACTCAGACACATTACTGGGAGTATTATTGCTGTGGAGCTCTGTTATACACTCAGACACATTACTGGGAGTATTATTGTTGTGGAGCTCTGTTATACACTCGGGCACATTACTGGGAGTATTATTGTTGTTGAGCTCTGTTATTCACTCGGGCACATTACTGGGAGTATTATTGCTGGGAGCTCTGTTATACACTCAGACACATTACTGGGAGTATTATTGCTGTGGAGCTCTGTTCATGGCATTATTGGGGTATTATTGCTGTGGGGCTATGTTATACACTCAGAGACATTACTGGGAGTATTATTGCTGTGGAGCTCTGTTATACACTCAGACACATTACTGGGAGTATTATTACTGTGGAGCTCTGTTATACACTCAGACACATTACTGGGAGTATTATTGCTGTGGAGCTCTGTTATACACTCAGACACATTACTGGGAGTATTATTGCTGTGGAGCTCTGCTATACACTCAGACACATTACTGGGAGTATTATTACTGTGGAGTTCTGTTATGCACTCAGACACATTACTGGGAGTATTATTGCTGTGGAGCTCTGTTATACACTCAGACACATTACTGGGAGTATTATCGCTGTGGAGCTCTGTTACACTCAGACACATTACTGGGAGTATTATTGCTGTGGAGCTCTGTTATACACTCAGACACATTACTGGGAGTATTATTACTGTGGAGCTCTGTTACACTCAGACACATTACTGGGAGTATTATTACTGTGGAGCTCTGTTACACTCAGACACATTACTGGGAGTATTATTACTGTGGAGCTCTGTTATACACTCAGACACATTACTGGGAGTATTATTGCTGTGGAGCTCTGTTATACACTCAGACACATTACTGGAGTATTATTGCTGTGGAGCTCTGTTATACACTCAGACACATT